CAGGCGCCCCTCTGTCTTCATCTTCACACGACGTTCTGTGTGTGTGTGTGTGTGTGTGTGTGTGGCCAAATTTCCCCATTTTTAAGGACACCCACCAGTCCTATGGGATCAGGGCCCACACTAATGACCTCATCTTAATTTGATTATCTGAAAAGACCCTATTTCCATATAATGTCACATTCACAGGGACTCGAGGTTAGGATTTCAACATCTTTTGCGGGGGGGATATAATGTAACCCATAACAACCATAAAACTTAACTTTTAATGTTATTTTTCATTGTTCTCAACTACTTTTCTAGTTATAAAAGTTAACATACTGTGGCCAACGGGCGCCTGGGTGGCTCAGTCGGTTAAGCATTCGACTTCGGCTCAGGTCATGATCTCGTGGTTCATGGGTTCGAGCCCCACATTGGGCTCTGTGCTGCCGGCTCAGAGCCTGGAGCCTGCTTTGGGTTCTGTGCCTCCCTCTCTCTCTGCCCCTGCCCCACTCGTAATCTGTCTCTCTCAAAAATAAATAAACGTAAAAAAAAAACATACTTGTGGCCAAATAGTGTGGAATAGACAATACGAAATATCGAAGTCCCCTCCTCCCACATACGTCTCCCCCGCAGAGGCAGTCTTTACGAAGGATTTATTGTGTGTACTTCCTAATCTGTTTTATCCGCACAAACTTATACATGTGTGTATAGCTTTGTTACTGGCTTACACGAATGAGATCACAACTGCATCGTCCTGCTACTTGGGTTGTTCACTTACTGATACATTGTGGCCACCTTTTGAGGAGTCCATGAGAACCCATTGCCTTCTCTTTATTCATGGCTGCATAGTGCTTGCACCAACATTGACTTAATCATCCGCCTTTGGCTAGACCTTTAAGTTGTTTCCTTTTCTTTCTTTGTTATTACAAATAATGTTTATAGTAGAAGGCAGGGGCATTTATTGCTTCCTGCTTCTCCTGTTATGGTGAACGTTCTTGTTACATATGAATTTATCCAAGTACATATAAAGGTATATAAAATAGATCTTAAAGGTTAAATTGCTGGGGCAAAAAGCATATACATTTTAAAATTTGGTAGACATTGGCCCAAACCTCAACCTTAATGAAGACCTTAGAGGGTGCTCCAGAGCCCCACTGACCGTGAAGGCGCCACAACTTCGTTGGAAGTATTGCTCAGTGAGGGGGTAGACGCTGCTCAGACTTAGCCTTCGAACTTGTATCGGGCAGAAGGGGATTATGGTTGGTTGGTGGAGCGGGCTTGTTTGGGTTTTGATTCACGTATCTTCGAGTGGGCAAATTTCCACTTGAAAATTAAAGTTTTAAATTTAAAAACAAGTTAAAAAAAATTTTTTTTTAAATTAAAGATGTTTTAAATTTGCGTCTAACAGCCTCCTCAGTCTATGTTAGACAAATTCTAAGATTTTTAAACACACAGCTTAGAAGAGCTGGATGTAAGCCGTTTCTATCAGCCTATGCACACGTACATTTTTTTCATTGACCAAAATGGCATTATATGTATGCTTGATTTTTCCCCCTTTTGTAGAACGTTATTTAATTATACTTTTGTGGCCACAAAGTCTCCGTTACAACCGAGGCTTATTGAGCTGGTAGACAAATACGCAGTGAGGGTTCAACAAATTTGGGGGTATTCTTTTATTAGGCATTGTTAATACAGACGTTAAAAGCTTCACTTATATAAACCCATTCAGTAATCCATTAAACTAACATTTGGAGAATACTTTCTGTGTGCCCTGAACCGTCAGGTGGCTGGATCAGGGCAGAGAAGGGGCTCAGAGGCTGGTGTGGGATATGCCGAGCAGACCAGTGCACACGCGGTTCTGGTACACGGGTAAAGGCCGCTGCAGAGAGAGGGCGAAGTACAGGATGCTAGGAGAGAACACAGGAGGCACACCTAAGCCCACTTTGCAAGGTCAAGGAAGACTCCTAGCAGAAAGGGACTTTATTTTAAGCTGAGACCTCAGTGATAGGCTCTAGTCACAGGAAGGAAGGCGGGGGAGACGGGAGATAAGGGAAAACGTGAGCGATTGGGGCACCTGTCAGCGGTTCAGATGGCAGGCACACGGTGGGGTGGTTGGAGTGGGTGAAGCAGTTGCAGCAGAGGGTGAAGGGTCTGGGTCACGAGGCGTCTTTAAGGTAAGGGCTGTAGGCCTTCTGAAGGCAGCAGGCTGGTGCTGGAGGGTTTTAAATAGGGAATCCTTGAAAATTCTTCCGTTGGAAATGTTTCTTGAGTCGCCCAGCAATTCTTAAGACTTATTTTATTTGCATTTAGAACCAGGAGCAGTTGAAAGACGATGACTCCGATCTCATTCTCAATGATGGCGACATTAGTCTGACGTATGGGGATTCTACTGTGAACACCGAATCAGGAACATCCGGTGCCCCTAGGAGGTTTATGGGAAATAGTTCAGAAGATGCCTTGGATCGGGAGCTCTCATTTGGGGACCACGAACTGGTCATTCGGGGAACACGCTTGGTTCTTCCCATGGATGATTCTGAACCCCCATTAAATTTGTTAGATAATACGAGACACAGTCCGGCCTAAGCTTACTAATACTCACTTAGTGATTTGTAAAATTTGCACATGTGATTGTGAAGAAATTTGTACTACCTAAAAAGTCCCAGTGCATGTCTCTGAATGTTTAAGCTATATAAATGCTCTTTATATGGCATCGAGAGAATATAAATACCCTGTACAAGGCAGATTGTGAACAAACTATTCCTTTATGTTTCATTGGCTGCACTATGTAGATTGGATCTGTTTTAGAAAAAAGTTATTTTCACAGTGATGTTGTGTGTTCCGTTAGCTTTACGTCTCAGTTAAAGTATAAAAAGTGACACATGTACTCTTTCTTACACTTACCTGATACTTAACCAGAGTACCAAGTTCTTGTGCCGTGAATTAATTTTGTTTTGTGGGAGGGGAGGGAGAGGAAAGAGGGCGTGTTATTTCTGGGGAAGCCCAGGGAGGAGAGAAACAAGCACGTGTTCATTGCTCCTGCCTTGGATGTGACCTTTTTCTTTCTTTTTTCTCCGGTGGCCTGTTGTGGCATTAGAGGCTGAGGGTGTTCAGATCTTGCCCCGCTGGGCTTGGGAGTGAAATGGGCGGGGTGGGGGGCGCTTTCCCCCCTCGCCGTGAAAGAACAGATTCATTGACACTGGTGTTCGGAAAAGACATCCAAGACTTCGTTACTTTTCTCCCAGACCAAGACCGTAGGAAGGCGTCGCGTTATCCGGCCAGCTTAGCCAAAAGTACGGGTGTTCATAGTTCAGGGCACGTGGTTTCCGTTGGCAGGGGCAGGGGCAGAGCACAGGAAGGGAATAAAGGGGTGGGGGGGTGGTCTTTCGGAGATCTCTCTTCCCAAATGTGTAAATATTCAATACCAGATAAGTTTAAATAAGAAACTCAGTTGCTGCTTACTTTTTGATTATAAACTTGATCTGTATAGCAAGCTTTGTGGTCAAATGTTTTTATATCAATTTAAATTGCTGCTCTTTAGCAGCCAAACAGGAGCAAAATGTAAAATTTTTGAACTTACTGTGTCTAATTGTCAGTCGTTAGTCTGCACTTGATGTTAAAAGTTAATTTATGACTCCATGATCGTTGCCACACTACATCAAAGTCCGTCGTAAAGAACCGCGCTGCCCTGGAGAGCTTATCATAAGGGCAGTGGCTCCTTTATGTGCACCGGCGGTAGTTGTCTTAGTTTTCATGTGACTTTTTAATATGAAATGCCCAAGCTGCCATGTGTGGGTGTGTGGGTGTGTGTGTGGTGTGTGGGTGTGTGTGGGTGTGGTGGGTTTTGTTTTTGTTTTTGTTTTTTTGTTTTTACAGTTTTCAAGGAAGAGTACATAGCAACTTCCCATTTCCTACTGAGACAATGAAAGATTCTACTTTGTAATGCTGAAAACACCTGCAGGTGCGTTGAACGCTTAGAAGGGGGTTAGTCTCTGATGTCGATCCTGACCTGTTAAGGTTTCAGAAGAAAAATACGAGCTCTTGTGGGTCTTTCCCCCCTCGGGTCTGAGTAGCATTGCCTTAAATCTTCCCCAATTCGCAAAATTGATTTGTTTACGTGATACTAAAATTTTCCAGCCAAAAATATCTTTTCCGAGCAAAATATTCTCCCCCAGGTAGCTGTACTGTTGCAAACACTCCTGGAGATTTTAAGGGAATTCTCCCATTGTACCCTTGAGTGGCAGCTCTAACTGTTGGCATAGATAGCCATTTGTTATGTAGTGGTACCGACTTTCCTGCTATGCAGGAACCCCGCGAAGTGTGCATTTTATATAATGAATGTGTGCCTCTTCATGCAGTCTCTAATTCTTGCTAATGTGTGTTTGAGGGGCTTTGAACTTCAGCATCATTTACCCACGCAGTTATTCAAGTTGTAAAAGGTCATACAAAAAATGAACAACTACCTTTTATATTCTGTCAAGTTACTGAGCTCACTTCATGAAAATGGCTGTAAATACTTAGCATGACAAATTCAGTAACTCGTCTCTTTCAGCATGCATAAGACTTTTTCTTAGGGAAACCGATACAGCTTGAGTCAACTGAATCTGCCTTCGTGCTGTATCAGAGGGGAACCAAGCCTTCTGTGCTTACGTCAGCATCTGGAAGATTCTCCTCTCCTCTGATCTGTGTGTGCATCTCCAAGCAAAGAAGAAAACACAAACTGTGCTCTCATACCCATTGGTTTTAGACACCTGAGTGAACTTGAATGAAGGACAGTCTGAGTTACCATCACGCACAAGTAGAGCTGCTCTCGGACTTGCTGTTCTGTTCTTTGTGAACCCTACACGTTTGAATGACTCAAACATTGCATCTTTTAAAGTTATTTTGTAAGGTTCCTTGGCATCTATCCTCCTTGTCTGTGTTTGGCAATGTGCTGTTAAAGAAATAGACTTAATCTGTATGTATTTTTTGTTTTCCCTTGCAGTACTTGGACAGATGTTATAGTGGTTTCTTTTAGGAAAATCTGTCATTAAAAAAAATTATAGCCTTGCAAATAACCAGTCACCGTATTTGAGTCACAGTTTATTCTAGCGAGAAAACAGTAAAGAGTACTGACTTCATTTATTTTTCTACCTATACACCTACTGGGAAATCAGGAAAGACTGATGTTTAATAAAAGAACAAACAGAAACCTACCAGAATGTAACATATGGGGTTGCCAATTTGGGGGGGGGAGGGCTTATGGGTAAGGCTGGACATATTTGCTTATGGTCACGATTGAACCATTTAACAAATGGCAGTCGAATTAACAATTCGACTCAGGGCAGTCGAATTCTGTCACATTGGTTTGTAGCCTGTTAGCTTGGTAATGGATAATGTCACGAAAATGTTCATTGCATTATTTGGCAAGAGTAGATTCTGTATCTGCTTAGGGAGAAAGGCAGTTCCAAGTCTGGTGGAAAGCATGATCATGCAAATAATCCTTTTTGCAAGTTAAAGATAGGTCTTTCTTTTTGTACCTGAGCAGTTTTAGAGGTTAGATTGTTATTGACAGCAACTTTGTCTAGTAAAGGCACCAACCACACTGGTTCTGTGTTTTGCTGCCAGCTTTCTTGTTCGTGATCCAGTGAGAGACACAGGTGGCCTACACACCACACCTCTTCTGGAACAAACCCATGTTTTCTTTAAAAAAAAATTTTTTTTAATGTCTTATTTATTTCTGAGAGAGCGAGCACAAGCTGGGGAGAGGCTGAGAGAGAGGGAGACACAGAATCCACAGCAGGCTCCAGGCTCTGAGCCATCAGCACAGAGCCCGACGCGAGGCTGGAACCCACGAGCCATGAGATCACGACCTGAGCCGAAGTCAAGACGCCCAACCGTCTGAGCCCCCCAGGCGCCCCACAAACGTATGTTTTCTAATTCACAGGTGAAACCCAACATTTGATTTGAGCAGGGACATTTGTTAACCTGACCCAATGCAGCAGTGTAAAGAGATGAAAGTATAGATGTTTTGAACTTCATCGGGACATCCTTGATAGGAAGCCCCCCGTACGGATTATGCAGTATAAGGTATGAGGCTTGGAATAAATTGGAAATCATAATAATAGTAGGTCCCATTTTTTGCACCCCTCTCTGATACAGGCTGTGTGTATACACGGTCTTTTTTCAAATTTACATTTTAATTTAATCTTTTTTTTTTTTTGAGAGAGAGAGAGAGCAAGCCTGAGAGGGGGAGGGACCGAGAGAGAAGGAGAGATTGAATCCCAAGCAGGCCCCACTCCCAGTGCGGACTCCAACACAGGGCTCTATCCCACGACTGTGAGATCATGACCTGAACCAAAATCAAAGGTCGGATGCCTGAGCCGCCCAAGCGCCCCCTCATTTTAATTTAATCTTAATCATGCTGTGAGGGTACGTTTTATTATTCTCATTTCACAGATGTGAAAACTGAGGTGCAGGAAAGTTGTTGCACTGCTAGTAAGTGACAGACAGGCCTCAAATCCAGTCTGGATCCAAAGTCTAGATTGTTAACCGCTGCTCTGGGTGGCTCCAGTGGTGGGCTATGGGCTAATCCATCTCGAGAACTAGAAGGATGATGCAGGGAATTGCAGACTTCTGTCCTGTTGGCCACCACTCGCTTGACATCAGGCCAGGGTAGGGCATGAAGTCTCAGCTGTGTCCCTCCATTTGCCGCACTGTTGGCTGCTGGACATGAGTTATCGTGGTTGGGAAGTTTCTCGAATTCTTAGCAAAGTGCCCCCCTGGGTCTCTTTGAGCCCACAGCCGAGTCAACCTGCCTAGCATCATGCCTTTCCACTCTGCCTCCCACCGTTTTCACCAAGGGGGCCCATCTTTTACGGCGGAGTGTGTGGTCCTAAACAGCGGCTCTGCGCTCACATAGTTCGGTGTCGTAGGAAAAAACCCAGGCTTCGGAGTTACGCACACCTGGTTTCAAATCCAGTCTCTGCTCTTTGCTCACTGTGTCCTGCCGGCTGGTTACTTGACTTTGCTGGGCCTTTCCACTTGCTTAGCTGTAGAGTTAATTCGCTCAACAAATATTCGAGCGCTTCCGCTTACTGTGTAGCTACCCTAGGGAACAACTCCACAGCGATCCTTGCTCTCACAGAGCATGTTCTACAGGAGATGCCAATAGCTGTTTCATGGGGTTGTTAGGAATCATTCGTGCAAGAAGGACTGACTGCCTCCTGGCAGAGGAGTAGCTGTCTTAAACAATCAGCAGGTCGCATGAGCTACACTAGCCATAAAGGCTATGATGGCAGAGTACGGGAGGCCAGGAGGGGGGCTGGTGGTAGGGGGATAGGGAAGCTTTTACAGACGAGGTGGAATTTAAGCTAAGACCTCGAAGGTAAACAAGGGCTCCGCCAGACGATGGGAGGTGAGAACGCAGAGCATCCCAGGCAGAGTGAACAGTGACAACTCGCCAGCTATACTTGATCGTCCACACAACATACATCCAATCAAATAGCTATCGAGTGACAGACATACGATGCACTGTGCTGTATACGGATAGTGGGGAATGAAGTAAACGCGGGCTACCCTCCTTGCACTTCCTTATCAGTGGGGAA